ATAGTGTGTACGATAAGCAAAATATTTGCAATTAACAATGTTGCATAATAATCAGAGTNATAAATTCGTGAAAAAAAGCGCTTTCGACAAAATACTAAAATAGAGATCTATCGACAAAGACTACTCACTTCTGCCTAGCTTAGGGTTATTTCAGTTTCCGTTTTTAAAAGCGCTATATGTTGAACCACCTCCGCTAGATTTGGCGTGTGACATTTATAGCGGCAATCATTGGTCGATTTTCTAGCGTTGCCATTCGGGGAGTTGTAATGAGGCTTTTTTTTTGTCGCCGTGTAAGAGAAGTACATATATAGATATATATATAGCTAGAATCTTAAAATTAAAAGCGCACATAAATATAAAGTAAAATCACCGGAGCTTTAGTGAAGCTGGAGCTTTAGCTCATTCTCTGGGAGCTGAGCTGATAGGATCGAAAATTTCTCGACTCCAGGTTCATGACAAAAAATGTACTTGCGACAGATTCTACATCAATCGGAGATTAATGTAGAACTGCGAAATGGTGAATTCACGTAAGTTAAACTCGAGCAAAAACAGCAAAGTTTGTGCACGGTGTCAATATATCGACTATTTTCAATTTACTTTAAAACTAGTTTAAAATTAAAAAATAAAAGTATGTTTTTAGTTTTTACTCATTTTGTTAACCATAAATGAACTTTTAAAAATTTGTTAGTAGTTTTACCTTTTAAACCTTTTTTTTTATAATTATTATTAAGAATTCTTTTTTATATAGATAAGGAAACTGGTGGACTCAGTGATTCTTTTAAATATCTCCATTACTTCTAAATTTGGATAGATAATCAAATGATATCTCTTTAGATATGAAATGTATCACTTGCTTTTAAATTTTTATCCCATTATATACACATTACTTTTCATGTTTTTTCGCGGAACTTGTCAATCAAGATGGATTTCATATATTTGAAATAAACAATGATTATGAATCAATCAATCACAAGGGACTTGTGGGTCTTGTCACTTGACGTCAGTGAAATGATTACAATGAATGAATTTTATAACAAATCTGTTAGAATGACTTTTAATAAATGAGAAGTTTTATAAACTCAATATTTATTTATCAAATTAATATTTGAAATTAATATGAATCAATAGATAATTATGTGTTTTTTTATTTGTTTTAAAGTAAATTACCATTTGCTAGACCTGAAAATTTAAAATTTCCATTAATTGCCAGTGGCCACTTTTTCTTCAAACCTAATGAGTCGTTGATCAAGACCGATAGGTCCTATTCATTTAATAGCCACTTTTTGCTTTCTTTTTTTGTTTGGATAAAATAATATTTTTTTAAAAAAATCATAGAATTAATCTACATCTCAAAAAAGTTAATTCAACAATAAATATAATATAAATCTATGACAAAGTTTAGTTAAGCATACTCACTTGACCGTTCAAGAAAATTCAATACGAAAAAGGAAAAAAACGATAAAAACCGGTCGCTTTTTTGTGGCCATTATTTTATTATTTGCAACGTTGCGAGTTGTTATTTACAGGCCCCACCATTTGGTATATTACTGTATAACAAAGAATGAATTTTAATGCATCATTCACGAAGGTAGGCTGAGAAAAAACCTCTGGAGAAGAAAAAAAAAAGCATTGAGGGGATTAGTAATTATATATGATTTTAACAACTGTTTCTATTCGGGCCATTGAGCCAAACTTTAATCTAATTAAATATTTACTTACTTATATAGCCCTACAGCACGTTGTGAAACTTTACCTGCCGAACAATATTGTTCCTAATTTACCTATTTTTGATTTTCAATTTCAAGTTTTTCACCTTCAAGTTTGTTAAATCTTAGGTTGTCTCGTCCAGCCATCTCATTTTCGGTCTTTCCCTTGGTATCGAATACTAAGGTTTAATATTTTAAAAGTTTTTTTGAATTTCTATTATTTAATCTTTCCATGCCCCCCTACCATGCCAAACATCTAGATTTAATTAATCTGAGTATGTTTTCTCGTCTGATCACTATTATAGCCATGTTCACTATTGCTTCTTATTCTCACTTTGTATTTTACTTTAATTGGTCTGAAAATGCTTCTCAAAATTTTCCTTTCGAAAATAAATAGTTTAGATTCTTCTTTATTTGTTAGAGTCCGAGTTTCCCTGTCATACGTACCTAAAGATCTGATGCTTGTTTTATAGATCTTTAACTTGTGATTTCCTTAGTAAGAAGTTTGTTCTTGAATAACCATTAATATAAGTAAAAACATTTATTTCCTTTTAGCATTCTGGAGTTATTTCTGATACTTTGCTTCTATTTGTTCAAATGAAATTATATTTTTTTAAAAATTTATTTATATCTAAGAATTAATTAAAGTTTCCGGAAATAAATTTTCATGGTATGTAATAAAATGATAAAAACAATCTACAATTGTTTTAAATTTCAATAATTACTCATACTGTGTTTTGACTTAGTGATGATATACAAAGAATTCTTTTTCAACTAGATATTTTTTTTAAAATTTTTTTAAATTAAATTGAAATACTTAACCCGTTTTATTAATATTAACTTATGAAAAAAAATTAAGACCCTCAGAGTATAATATAATTGTATTAAAATTAGTATTTAAAGTTTCTTTCATTCAACTTCAAGTCTAACTTTGTATATTAAGTATTTTTGTTAAAAGTATCTAATTACGTTCGGATAATTATTAAATGAATCGAATACGCGTTAAAAACTTGCAAGTTTCTACCCTTTCTCTTGCCCTGTAATTTCTAAATAGTATATGGTAGAAATATTGTGTATCCTTCGTTCTACAAAGTTAGATCATGATGTAGTAAACGTTTCATGATGTATAAACGTGTTTTTTCTCGAATTTGCAGAAGCTTGCAAGTTTCTGTCTTTTCTATGCAGCCGTGTCATAAAATTAGTATAAAACAAGTTCTGAGCTACTTGAGTTGCTTTAGTTAAAAACTATAAAATCTTTGCTACTCCAACCTGACAACCAACAACTCCTCCCTGATCCTTTTCTTGTAATTGCTTTCTATTTTCATCAATTTGATTTGAGTATATTTATCGATGGTCGATATAATCGCACAAATAGTTTTGCCATGCCATTAAAAAATAATAATAATAAATAAATAAAAGAAGAGAAAGATATTATTTTATAAATTTACGGCATTAATAGTTCAGTTGTTTAGAAAATGAGATACTCAATTATATACGAAATACTTTTCATTATAAATAATTTATGCAATTGTTCAATAAAAAAATACCTAAAAAAATAGTTTTTTTGCAGCCCCATCTCTTGACGAATTTAGTAACTAATTTTCAAATATTTTCTAAAAAAAAAACGCAGCTAATCGTACATATATGTCTTAAATCATTTGAAATCAATAAATTTTTCAAATCGACTGTTGTCTTTAGAACACACGGTACAATAAATATGGACTATCTTTTTTTTTTTGTCTCCTGCATCGTGTCCCCTTATTAATGGCAAATCATGTAATTCCACAATTATGAAAGTTAGTAATCGTTTTGGAACCTTGAACCTAAAATCGACTCGACATCTCTTGTCATTAATTATAAATAATTTCAGCATTATATTTGATGACCTTCATTAATTCTGAAAATTTTTTTATAGCATTGAAGGTCAGAAAAGAACTTTTCTTGTTCACTAAATTTGACTAATGCTCACAAAATTTCTTGATGTCTATTAATATTATTTAAATATCAATTTATGTAATAAGTAACGCCTTTGTAAATGAGGCTTTTATGCCTTGTCCGCCTAACGCTGACATCTCAAATCTGGATTCCTTATGTGCACCTTATTTAGTATGTTGTTGATTAATAATTCACCAGTAAGTTAGGCATTTCGTCGGGTAGAAATGAAGAATCTGGACTCAATGGAAGAAACTAAAATAAACTAATACTACTGCTTAACGATGACTAATAAATGATTATTTCAAATTTTCAACAAATAAAATTTAATTTAGTACAAAAAAAATTTTAAATTTCAATCTATGTAACTTTTAAGAATTTATTTTGATTTATGCCGCCATTATTTTCTTTAATAAATATGTATAAATTATATCTACGTAAATATGCATGCTGTAACGCATGTTTGGAACCATTATGAAAGTGTGTTTTAAACTATTAGCTTCTTTAGTTTTCACTTATTTGATTCTTATTAAATTCCCATTTTTGTCTGTTTATTTTAAGAAAAATAAAATGGTTATTTTCTTTCTTTAAACAAATTTAATTGATATTAGTGGATTATTACTGTGCACCATTTGCAAAATATATCTATCTGTTACCAATTAATATGATAGCCTGCATCATTTGTCAACCATTTTAGACGCTGGAAAAAAAAATTTCTTTATTTCGTAATATGTCTGGTTCAATAATTTTATTTCCTAATGTATAAGTCTCCCGATATTGTCCTTGCAAATCCCACTAAGGCCTTGACAAATCTATGAATCACGGCCCTGGCAACAGAGAGCGATCGCTGCCGATGTAATTGGCGAGATACAGTCGTTGGCGCTTTTCTCCGAAACTGATGTAACCTCGCCAAGGATTGAATGTGACACAGAATTCATCTCGATTGAGCTCTCTCCTAATAATTCACTCACTAGCTCGCGTATCTAAGCAACGAGTTGCTTCGTGAAGACTAATTTCAGGCTTTCAAAGCCGGTCTTCTTTCAAATTGCCGATACATATAAATTGATGTCGGTAAACCTGTGATATTTTCTCTTATGTATTAAAAATTTATTAGTTATATAAATTTAAACAAAAATTTTAAATATTAACCGATGTGTATAGTAGATAGCTCAAATATCAAAATGCGCGATCAAGCACCGGCCGGTGATATTAACAGCAATACTACCACTGCTGTTATCAGGCCCCGAATGCATCGGCCTCCCACCCCCGAAGATACAGTGGACAATGATATTAATTTAATAGACTTAAAAAAGCTGCCCAGTGTTATGCCCAACAATCATATTGCTCTTGGTTCTCCTACAGAATGCCTGGGATGTTTCCACGATGTTTGTATACCCTTCGCCCCTTCTCACCTGTGCCAAAGAAACCCTGGAGAACCACCCCCTCCCTCGTTGGACCGAGAAATCGTAAGTATAAAATATTTATTTTATATAGTAGTATTATCTGTTATTTACTCTTGATGTATTTATCTGAGGTGAAACAAAAAATATTCTCCTCTCAGGGTACTAAATTTGAACTCAATTGGTCAAATAGCTCTTGAGAAATTAAAACCATTGTGTATAATCATTGTGAAAGTGGGCTTTAAATTATTAGCTTCTTTAGTTTTCACTTATTTCATTTACAATATATTTCCTTTTATGTTTGTTTATTTTGAAAACTAGGATCTCAGAAGCTGTTTTCGCTCAAATTTTGTATGTTTTCCTTTAAAATTGCGTAGCTCATAAGGATGTACATTTTTTTTTTAACCCTTACAATGCAAAAAAAAAATTTTATCAAATATTATGAAGTAATAAATAATTATAAAAAGTAAGTTTTTACGTGGTATATCTTTTATATAGTCTAGTTTTTTTTTAATTATTATTATTGTGTGCAAAAAGTACCGAATTCGATCGCTTAAAAAGTTTTAAAGATATGGTGAAATTAGTATTGAAGAGATCATATGTTCAATCTCTCTCCTATCCATATTCCTCTCTACAATCATATTCCTATCCATATTCCAGATTACGACTGCCCCTCATATTTCGAGAGTCAAAAATCTAAAACCGTCTAATTAAATTTTTTTTTCTTTTTTTAGGATTATACGTTTTTGTGTCTGATTTCGTTCCTAAATAACATTTCGAACTAATTATATAATTAGCTTATTTGAGGTTAACCCTTCGAAACAAAAATATTGACTTGCTGAACAAAAGTTACAAGGTAATGCTTTACCGTGTTTGTTCTTACATATCTGTGGTATTACAATTACTGAATCGCGGGATACGTAGATAAAAATATATCTACGTATTCCAAACTAAATGAAAAGATCCTCAGTGCTTACAAGCATAACATGCCAAAAGGAGAATAAATAAATAAAAATCTGCCCCACAAAAATTTACTTGTTGCTAAGATATTTGACAGCTTCAAAATTTGTCTATCTTTCTTTCCAATTCATTTCGATTGTCTTTGCGCTTCTAAGTTGGAAAGATAATTTTGAGACACCCTGTATGTTATTCTTGACCCTGGCATCATTGCCGCTTGGCTCATCTTAGAAGTAAAACATAACATTATGAAGCTTCTTATCTACTGTGTCTTTGTCTGAAAGTCAAAAAATTACTTGCATTATTTTTCAGTAAATTTTTATAGTAATTTTAAAATTAGTTTTTTTTTTTATTTAATTAATTTTGATGTGNAAAATTTTATCAAATATTATGAAGTAATAAATAATTATAAAAAGTAAGTTTTTACGTGGTATATCTTTTATATAGTCTAGTTTTTTTTTAATTATTATTATTGTGTGCAAAAAGTACCGAATTCGTTCGCTTAAAAAGTTTTAAAGATATGGTGAAATTAGTATTGAAGAGATCATATGTTCAATCTCTCTCCTATCCATATTCCTCTCTACAATCATATTCCTATCCATATTCCAGATTACGACTGCCCCTCATATTTCGAGAGTCAAAAATCTAAAACCGTCTAATTAAATTTTTTTTCTTCTTTTTTTAGGATTATACGTTTTTGTATTTGATTTCGTTCCTAAATAACATTTAGAACTAATTATATAATTAGCTTATTTGAGGTTAACCCTTCGAACCAAAAATATTGACTTGCTGAACTAAAGTTATTCAAGGTAATGCTTTACCGTGTTTGTTCTTACACGTAAATCTGTGACATTACAATAACTGAATCGCGGGATACGTAGATAAAAATATATCTACGTATTCCAAACTAAATGAAAAGATCCTCAGTGCTTACAAGCATAACATGCCAAAAGGAGAAAAAATAAATAAAAGTCTACCCCACAAAAATTTACTTGTTGCTAAGACATTTGACAGCTTCAAAATTTGTCTATATTTCTTTCCAATTCATTTCGATTGTCATTGCGTTTCTAAATTGGAAAGATATTTTTGAGACACCCTATATGTTATTCTTGACCCTGGCATCATTGGCACTTGGCTCTTCTAAGTAGTAAAACATAACATTACGAAGCTTCTAATCTACAGTATCTTTGTCTGGAAGTCAAAAAATTACTTACATTATTTATCAGTAAATTTTTATAATAATTCTAAATGTTTTTTTTTTTAAACCAATTTTGATGTGTTGACTAATTGTGTTGATTTGTTGAGTTAATATTCATGAAATAGCTTCATTCGTTTGAAAAATCGAAATATACATATATATATATATCTGTAACATAGTTAATTTCGACTGTACAGAAAATCGTAATTAGAAGAATAGCTTGTTATTAATTATTTTGGATAGAATTAATTGATCTTTGAATTATTTTGTAATTTCTCCATAAAAATTTCCCTTCACGACCGTACTAGTTTACAGCTCCTCCTCCAAAAGGACCTCCTCCAAATTACGTTGATTCTGCTTTAAAAAAAAAAAAATCCTATTTCAAATGTGTCGATTATTTTAATTAAATTATAAGTTATGTTAGTTCATTCATTTACACAAAAAAATACAAAATTTCTAATCCAAGCGTCAAATTATTTATTTATAAAATGTTCCTTTAGTCAGTCTTTCATTTATGCTACTGGGAACTTTACAAATTATTTTATCGTAAAAAAGAACTTTTTACGAAATATTTTATCCTCAAAACGAATCATTCACAATATTTTTGATCTTAAAATGCTGCGTGCCATACCAGCAAGCCTGCTTGGTGAAACCAAGCAAATTTTTAGGCAGAGCATACGTTTCTTGTTTTTCAATGGCCCCATCTATGGCCATGAAGATTACGACTTCAGCCGCACACACGTCACATTCCATTTTAAAGGGTGAGCCCAGTCATTCATCCGCAGAGCATAATTTCCACCTAAACCAGAGAATGAGCAATCCTCAATTCAGTACCCCCAGAGGTATTGATTTGTTATGGGAACTTGGAGGACTTGTAATCCGACAGATTTAACGTGCACCAGTCACCATTTACTACTCCGGGAGTATTCGGCCGGAGGGGTTGGAACTCCCAACCAACCAGGCTATCCCGACCCCTAATTTGACATCTTTAAATACATAATTTTAAAACTTCTTGAAAGAAAAAAAAACATTTTTTTCAAAAAAACAGGACCTTATATTCACATTGCATTGTTGAAGAAGTTGCATTGTTTCTTTTATGAAACTACCCATTAAGATATGTTTTTGTGTATTTTTCTTCTTCTTTTTTTTTTTTAAAGTAAACTGGTTAAAGTCGAACAAGAACTAAAGCCGTATTTAGTATCGGAGTTAGTAACATAACAAAATTATCCACGTAATTTTAAATACGTGTCACAGTTGAGTTTACTAAAATCTGACCGAAAGGAACACGATTCACAAAATTCTTCGTATATTTTTCACAAAAATACAGATATTTCTCAAAATGCTTGAACAAATCACTGTATTTTAAGATTTTCATTTAAACCAGTTCCCGTCGTACTGATCTTTCGCAAATACGAAACCCCTTTTTCTCAAAGTTATGAAATTTTCTGCAATATCTTAAAAAAGAAAAAAAGAAAAAAAAATAGAAGGGAATAAAAGGAAGGAAGAAGGGGGGGGGGAAGGACCTTTCTAGATTAATTACTGACATTTATTGTAAAAAAAAGTTTTCAAATATTAGTTACATTTCTTTTCTTTTTTTTTTTTCTTTTTTNTTTTTTTTTTTTTTTTTTTTTTTTTTTTTTTTTGCGAATTGTAAAAAAAAAAAATTTTAAAAAATAATTTTGTAATTAGGTAAATTATAAATGAAAATTGTTCACAATCTTAATTCAAAATAAATTAAAGTAAACTTAAAGATGCATTTTTAAAATGTATCTTTATATTTTAAAAAATCACTCACTCTAATGCTATTTCACTTATTGACATTTATTAACAGGTTTTTATTTCAGGGATCATTTTCAAATTTATCTTCTTCGCAAAGGTTTCGTTTTTCTATAATATTTTTAAGAAATCAATAAAATTGCAACAACGCTAACTTATTTTAATATTTTCGTATTAAAATGTAAATGAAAATAATTATCATAAATAATTCAATCAAGGCTCTTCGTTATTTTTATCTGATAAGGCTATATCTATGTTCTTGACCTTATAAGATAATGTATGAGAAGAGTTAAACATCTGTCCTGTTCAAAATAATGGAATTATTTTGAATGCTATATGCATTAGCTATATGCTTGCTAGTTACTGGATTAGTTTTATGCTATGCTTCTTGGTTTTTTATTTAACCAAAAAAAAAAAAAAGGATTTTTATAATGTTTTTTAACGCAAAACCTTATCGTTACCAGTATTTGGAAAGTCACACAACTTTTTATATCACGATTTATCAATGTGTCATATTGTAACAGTTAACTTACTTTTTAACACTTTCTTAGAATAGTTTTATTAAGAATATTAAAAACAATTTTCCCTGGAAAAATACAACATGAAAATAATCTATCTCTTTGTTATTATTGATTCTTTTAATCTTAATCAATTTAAATTAAGGCATACATTAGTTACGTTTTTTATTATTTCAAATCTGCTTCATAATTTCTACTGAAATCAGAAAAATGATTTCATACATTTTGATGAATAATCCTTAGTTTCAGACAATTTCTTAGAATTTCTGTACAAATTCTTAGTTGGGATTTATCGCCCAATTTTCACTTTCATCATCAAGTCATGACTAGGCATTTTGTTTTATCTTAGTATCACATCTGCTTGCGAAAATTGCCTCCATCTTTAAGTTTCCTTGTATTAAGAAATTTAAAACTTTTTTTTTTTTACACTTAATAGATACTTGTGAGAATCGCTAAAGAAATGAAAGAAAATTCTAATTTTTTAAACATAATGCTGCCAAAAAATTATAATTTCGTCAAAAATTACTTCGTGTTTGTAATTTCTCAAAAAAAGGAAAGATTTCACTTTCTTTGCATAAAAATTTTTTCACAAGCACTTTTCTTTCTTTCTTTCTATC